ACCTCTCCAGGCATCGAATTTAGTATCCTCAGGTGTTATGGTGAGCACTTAAATATTAGTATCACTAAGCTGTCACCAACCAGTCCCAAGTGCCTTTCACAGATCGCCACAAAATCACTTCATCCATACTCTAAAGCTCTAATTGAAAGCCATGACTATTGGGGGTCAAATACGTTGAAAGTAAGGCAGTTGTCATCAGTAATATCAAGTGATCATCATGCTATTTCGCACATTGATTGAAGTTAAAATCTTACTAATGGACATTAATCCAGTGTTTTCAATAGTTAAGCATTTGTCATCTGATTCGTTGGTCACGAACACGATCCCTGTGATTCTGGTTGTTAGTACAGAATCTTAAGTAGCCGTGCATTAAAACATAAAAACTGTCTCATCCCTAGTGGTTTTGATTGGTACCCTAATTGAGACCAGTCTGCAACAAATACTATCAAGAGATAACTAGATAACTAGAAAATCAAGTTTCTTACAACAGTATAATCAATGAAATGAAAACAATAAAATTAACAACTAAGTGTATTTTGAACAAGAGCAGAGTATATACAAGATTTATTATTGCAAGAAATAAATAAAATAAACGGACAGAAATCCTTCTAAATGAGAGAGAACACTGGTTTGTTTTAATCTTTTCTTTCCAGCATATACACAACCACCCTTTTACTTCACGATTACTACACTGTTGAAAATTACTGTCTCTACACTAACAAACAGTAATTACATGTAAATTATTATTGTTTTTCTGCTATACAAATTTTAAAGAAAAAAAACTCTGAGAAAGTAAGAGAAAGGCTGATAAACTGAGGTTGTTAAAGAATAAAAAAGAGTGGAAAACATGAATATTGAAGTTGGACATTGATGTACGTACACACAAGGAATAAGAGATGATTCGTTACTAAGTGAATTTGTTTGAATTTTTTTTAATTTTATTCTTTTATTAAGATGAAAAACAATTGTTTCTTTTCAAAACAAAAAACAAAAAAAATATGGCGAATTTTATTGTTTGTTATTTTGTTATGAAGGAAAAATGTTTCTTGAAAGATAAGTTGAAAAGAGATTGTAAGTTGTATCGTTATGTTTCCTATTATGCTTTTATCCCGCAATACTTTTTGTTCTCTTTTTCTTCATTGTACATTGGAAAACGTCTGAAGGAACAGAAGAATAAATGAATAAACATGGATATTTTGAAATGTTGTTAAAAAGACATTGATTCAAATAGAAATTAAAGTCCGGTACATTATTCAATTTTTTCTGAATACAAGTTAATGGAATAATTGATCGAAATCTGTAAGCTCCACAACCCTGTACTGATAATTACCATGTTCTCACAAGTGACTAGCTTCGTGAAGTATTTCTCGGAGTTCTAGTGGGAAGCCGTGACCAGTGGAGCTAATCCATGTTGGGTAGAGATAGGTATCTACCTCGTTACAATAGAAGATGGTCGCACACTTCTGTGGATTGGTTAAGGTCAGACATTAACACTATTTCAAATTGATTGAGATCATGAACCGATCGATGTTAGACCACCATGAAAAACCTAGAAGCACTGGAGGTCGTTTCGTCCTATTGTGGGACTTCTCAACAGTGCTCATCCACGACCCTGCTAGACGGACTCCAACCCAGGATCTTCGGTCTCGTACGCGAACGCCTAACCTCCAAACCAATGAACCAGCCGGTATCCAAAGATGTTAATATCTAGCCTCAACCAATCCACAAATTGCACGACTATCTTCCATCGGACCGAGGTAGACACCTTTCTCCACCCGACATGGATTAGCTCGACTGGTCACGGCTTCTCACTAGAACTCTGAGAATTCCCTCACGATGCTAGTCACTAGTGAGCACATGGTAATGGTAATTATCAGTATGGGGGTTGTGGAGATTGTTAGGATTTTGATTGAGATCATGAACCGATTGATGTGAGACCACCAGTGTAAAGCTGGAAGCACTGAACGGCTGTTTCGTCCTATTGTGTGGATTGATTGAGGCTAGACATTATCACCGTTGGATGTCAGCTGGCTCAGTGGTCTAGAGGTTAAGCGTTCGCGTGCGAGACTGAAGGCCCTGTGTTGGAATCCTGCGAGTGGGGTCGTGAATGCGCACTGCTGAGGCGTCCCGCAGTAGGACGAAACGACCGTCCAGTGCTTCTCAATCGAAAACTTAATAATCTCCACAACCCTGTGCTGATGATTACTTATCACCTAATACTTGCTAGTGAAAGTATATCATCATTTTTTATAAAAACAACACTCTTTATAATATATGAATTACGGTCAACCAGTATCCGCAGTTAGAAATGTAACCACTAAAGTATTCAATGCATAACTGACTTCTTGTCAAGATTAAGTTATTTAAATTGACTGAATGAATACCATGTTATTAATTACTATACAGTTAATAATTAGTAGACTACTTACGAAGAAAGTTGAAATTTTCAATCATCGATGACACTGTTGTTCGGATAAGATGATCTGAAGCATTTTCATTGTTCGCTAAATGGTCATTTCTCTGTTTATTTACTGAGTCCTGTATATTAAACTGGAATGTTTATTTAAAGTTTCATCTCAAGTCCTAACTTATAATATATCGTTGTTATTCATCCTGAATATTGGCCTACGTTGCACTGAATATGTGCATAACAATAGCAAACAACTCCGATCCCCTTCAAAATCAAATTGCACATCAAAATTACACTCAAGTATTCAATACTCATTCCTTAAATGGGAAGATATTTAGATAACATTATTAATATAATATAAAAAAATCGTGTCTGATTTCTACAACTTGTCATATCTAAACCCATGGATTCGTACCCACAAACACGTTAACAAATACATAAACGAATTAATTTAAACTAGTAAATGTATTATAAGCAAAGATAGACAGTGGCTAGCAGTGGAATCCAGGACGTGAGTTTCATCCTATTTGGAACTCGTATTCCTTTATAAGTGGTGTTTTTATCATTAAAATTCAATTCCAGCACAATTAATTAACGGAACTTCCAGATTTTCCATGGTGATCTAGCTTCAATTGACTCATGATTTCAACTATTGAAATTACTAAAATCTCCACAAAATCACTTCTAATAAAAATTACAAAGCAACTAATGATCACAATTTGAAACAGTTTATAAATTGCCATATACACTGACTAATAATAATAAGCGGCCTGCTTGAGTATCTGGGCTACCCGTTCCTTCCATCTAGATATTTCAACAAGTTATCTATTTTTGTTTGTTTCGATATATCATTATGTCTATTATTCGCATAACATATCCTGGTGTATTTCTGAAAAGTGTACAACTTTTCGTTGTCAAAGTTACAAAAAGCCCAATAAGAGATAATGTGGTCGCTAGCAATATGCAGCAAAAAGAATATGCATTATTCAGATGTTCATTTACTGGACTGCTAACATCTAACTGGCGATCACTCAATATTTATCGTCAGGACCGACCAAGAAGTAAGAAACGGAAACTTGTTGAAATACTTTGTGCTGAAAATTCTATATTGTACCAAAGCTATAATATTGAATAAAGCTTATAGTAATAATTTTAAAAAATCGTAAGTTTGTTCTATCGTGTTAATTTGGTTTTGACAACAAACTTCTTTATTCCATTGTAATTTGTTATTAATCCGTTACATAACCAAGTGGTAATTTACAAAATAAATAAATAAATATGAAAATCAGATGTACAACAATACGCGTTTTTTTTCTCATTTTTTTGTGAATGGAGTAAATATGGTAATCTTATTCTCTGATTAGTTAAAATAATAATAATAACATAAAATACAATGACTGGCCTCTCTGTTCTTTCGTCAGGTGAAATTCACCTCTCTACCATTTTGTCAACACACAACGGTGAGGATAAGAAAGAAGTAAGTATAACTTTGAAGGTGAAGACATCATTGGTAACAATGGTAGATGTTACAGTAGAGTAGTAGCAGTAGTGATAGTGGCATGTAGGCACCATTTCAGAGAATTTAATTACTAATATTCACTATTATTATTATTATTATCTCACAAGAGCTGAATAAATATGTATGTATGCTTACCTACAGATGTGGGTATATGTATGTATGTGTGTGTATGTACACACGTACGTATGTGTGTATATTTTTGCATACACATTTAATCCTAACTGGCTTATCCATTTTGCATTAGGCTACTACAATACTTAGTTCAAACCATCCTTGATACGTGAATTCATCTCTGTTCATCTATTGAAATATTTCTCATATGGTGTGGATGTGTGTAAATCCATGTTCTATTTGAGAATTTTTTTTAATGAAAATGTTGATAATAATATTAACAAACTGGACACTGTCCATTTGGTATACAGACAGAATATATGTACATCACAGTAATGTATTATCGTAAAATATATATATATATATATATCATATTATATACTCACATGAGCAAACATGAAGCGAGAGAGAGAGAGAGAGAGAGAGGAGAGGTATATGAATTAGTACCTTACCTAAACGTAGTTTCACATCATTACATGTATTCGTGTGTTTGTCTATTCAATAATAATAATAATAATATATTGACTTACATGAGTGTGTGTCCCTCTACTATCTCCGTGTGTTTGTTAATCATCTATGAGGGTATTCGACAGATGAGTAAATTAATTAGAAGTGAGTTAGCGGAGTGAGGAAATAACAGTAAACATTTCATTTGCTTTACCTATAAACTCTAAGGTGTATAATATTTTTAAGTAAAGAAAATCGTTATCATGACCATTATTAGTATCATATTTTTGTGAATAAAACGAACATAAGATAGTCTGATTTTTTTTTAATGTTGACAGTCATCTTCGAAATCTAAAAAGAAACGACGACTACCTCAAAAACATTAATACTGTGATAACTTTTGTTCACTTATCACAAATTGAATCATTATAAGTATTGTTTCCATTGTTTCTCCAAAAAAAAAACACTGATGTAATAATGAACCGATTTCTTTGAACCGCTTCACTGATCATTATGATGACGACATTGTTAAATAATATTAAAGAACCGTTACATCATATACCAAATCAACCAGTTATGACGGTTACATCGAATTATACAGATTTAACTATGCTAAATACGAAAATAACTACTAGTAACAACAATAATAATAACAATGGGAGTGATATCACTACTCATAATGGTATAACAAGTAGTAGCAGCAGTGGTCATTGCAGTGATAATAACGATCTAAATGTTGTTGAATCACATTTATTACTAGACAACTGTGATGATGCGATGTTATCATCATGTAACAGTTCACTTATAATGGATGAACATGAAACTAACTCAGGCAGTAATTCACCAATGACCAATGCAAGTGTTACCATGGCAACTAGTGAGAATATTATGACTAATACAAACAACAACAACAACGCCAACACCAACACTAAGAATAACAGTACACATTCTATAATGCATACATCGCCATCGTCGTCTTCGTCTCCATCATCATCGTCATCATCATCAATATTGGAGCATCATCAAATATCTACCTTCAAGAATAGAGAGTCGAATGATTTTCGTTGGAATACGAAAAATACAAAATTATTTGTTGGACAGATACCAAGAAGTATGCAAGAAAATGATTTACGGGTAATATTTGAAGAATTTGGACCAATTTATGATCTGTTAATCTTAAGAGATAAAATTACTGGGATGCATAAAGGTGAGTTATAACTTTAGAATTAATGAATTATTAACTTATTGATTGATTAAATGATAAAAGTTGAAACTTCAATAATGTAACCTTATAACATTCAGTCTATTTGATTAGTACGAATCAGTAGTTTAATTTTTTCTTCGTTCGAGTCACAGTTTTTATTGGTCTATAATCTTTGTTAGCTAATTGCAATAACTTAATGTTCTTCTGTGCTAACTTGACTCACTCTATAAATCAATACAGACCTGTTGTTGTTGGATCTCTGTTGGATAACGTTAAGCATTTTCAGTATGTAATCAATTTCCAGCATGGTTCGATGATAAAATTTGATTCTGGAATAGTTCTAAATATAAATGAGCTAAATTACGTCAATTTTTAAAGAAAGAATCAACTTCATAATCTGCTATAAATATATACGGTAGTTGTTTGCGTAACATTTTAGATGGTATCCGTTTGACTCACCTACACAAACACAAGTATCTGCTTGAGTAGTTATCTTTTATTAAGATCGTTTTTCGAAATTTTTTTACTATCACTTTTCAATCATAATCATTGGTGTTCAACAGACAAAAGTTGGTTACATAAGGCAAATTCACTTGATTGTAATTCATGATAAAATGATTCAGTGGGCATTTATTCAGTTTGTAGGTTGTATTGATTGTTGATTTATGTCACTTGTGGTACCATAGGAAAAAAGGACCACTCGATGTGTAGATATTGGGCGAAGATCCTTCATTAACACTGAGGATAACTGTCTCACTATCAACAAACTTGAATTCAACTAGTCGGGATTTTCACTAAAGCTTGGGGAAATCATTCTATCCCAACTGATATCAATAACTCATACATATATATCAGAGGAGAGCGACTCAGTTGATTTATCCTTTCTTGTAAGCGTTACAAACAGTAAGAATTGTTTAACTCTTCAGAACTAAAAACATAATTTGATTGATTAAAACAGAAATATTTTCTGCAAGTATGAATTTATACGTTGTTTTATGGAATGCCAATGAAATGTTATCAACATATTATTAAAACTAGAAGTCTTCTAACTGAAGTTTTTACTGCTGATGTCGTTCAGAAGAACGATGAAAGCTCCACGACCAAATAATCCACCTGAGCTCCAAATATTGTCCACCATCTCAAAACTAATGAATTTCACATGATAAATCAATTTTATTTATTTCATTGGATTTTTTCTACACTTAAGTTTTTCATTTCATTACCTTTTCTTTTGCATTTCATCAATGTTGAAAGTAAATGACGCTTATCACTGAATGTTTCTGTATATAAACTGGTTATATGACTGATGAGTGGATATACTGATGAATTTCATTAAGACTTTCATTGAATTTTCTAAAAATTACAATTAACTGATTAATTTACACAATGATTATCTTCTGATTGTATGATGATATACCCCACTCATGATCACTAACAATAAAATACTGACAGTTATAACCCTATTTAGTAAGCATCAAGATAACGTTAATAATTTGTCTGTTTATTCATTACTCTATATATTTGATTACGATAATGAATTCATAGCACAAACTCTCAATATTATAGAGGAAGAATGTATATTTCCTTGAAAAAGCTTGGACCAGATTGCCGGGCGAAATGTTGCATTAACTTCAAATTCATTCGCTAAGATTTTACAATTACATTCTTCCTCTTTAAAGTCTCACATTTACTCGGTGCCCAAATACTGTAAAACTATTCGATCAAATTTAGATGAAAGTTCTTATCGTAAGAAAAATTCTGTTGAATATCGGTTTAACTTGTGAATTATTTGTAAAATTCTCTCGAACAATGGGCTGACTGTCGTTTATATTTACTCTTAAGTGTTATTGATTTTACTTAATCCTACGATACATATCGTTGTATTATATTAATTTGATACATGAATTCCATTGTAATAACGGCCTGCTCTTCCAGTGTTCAGATGAAGTAGAAAATAAACATCAACCTACATGGTGATGGCTGTGTGGATAGACGTGATGATGATAATTCCACCTGAATTTTGTGATGATTAATTGTAATTAAAAATTTTTTATTAATCTTTTTTATAAGATCGCTTGAGTATATCCGATGGTTAAAATTGTGGATTGATTGAAGTTAGACATTAACACTGTTGGATACTGGTTGGCTCAGTGGTCTAGAGGTGAAGCGTTCGCACGCGAGACTGATAGGTCCTAGGTTCGAATCTCGCGGGGCGAGATCGTGGATGTGCATTTCTGAGGAGTCTCATACTAGAACGAAATGGCCGTCCAATCCTTCCAGGTTTTCCATGGTGGTCTAGTTTCAATTAACTCATGAATCCAACTATGAAATCTACAAATATTTTTTGTAATACTTGCATATTTTTAGTAAATGCTTAATCAATAAGTTTGAATAGGTTATCTATACCAATGAAGTAATCTATCAAAACAGGTCTATTTTCGATCTGTTAAAAAAACCGTTTGTGTAAACTTGTGATAAATTATATCTCTAGAAGGAAATTATATATTTGTCGGGATTAAATGATTTTTTTATCTGATATGCAATTAACAAAGTCTTCAATCTGACGAAAGTTATCTATGAAATATAAGGAACACATTTATTATCTCACAGATTGAAATCATGAGTCAGTTGAAGCTAGACCACCATTGAGAACCTGGAAGCACTGGACGGCCGTTTCGTCCTAGTATGGGACTCCTCAGCAGTGCGCATCCACGATCCCGCACCACGCGGGGCTCGAACCCAGGACCTACTGGCTTCGCGTGCGAGCACTTAACCATTAGACCACTGAGCCGGCATCCAACGGTGTTAATGTCTAACTTCAACCAATCCACAAAGTTGCGCCACCGTACACCATTGTCTTCAGTGAGTTCCTATCTCACAACAGACCTGGTTGAACTCCACTGGTAACGGCTTCTCACTAGAACTTCGGGAGTTTTTCCTGAAGTCAGTCACTAGTGAGCAGTTGATTATTATTATCAGAATGGGTTTTGTGGAGATTTTAGAAATTTCACAGATTGAAATCATGAGTCAGTTGAAGCTAGACCACCATTGAGAACCTGGAAGCATTTATTATCATTTATTATCATCATAATAAATAAAATAAATGTCAATCCGCTGGTATATGACCATGTTGAACATGAAATAAATATTACCAATGATATTGGTGATAAATGTTAAGTCAGTGGTTTGAGGATTAGACACTCACTTTTAGAAGCTTGAACCTCCCAAGTTCGATTTTCAATGGAATAGCGAATGTGCTCTGAAACTATGAAATTCAATCTTGAGTCGAAATATCTGTTCAAATCGTATTGACTTTCGATGGTTGTTTAACGGAAGTTAGCCAGTAATGAAGTGTATATATATTATGAATAATAGTTCTGAGTAGAATAAGCTTTACAACCAAGAATAAAATAAAAATTTTATAAATAAATGAACGAGATAGGAAAGAGTTAGGTCCATAATGAACAGATGGATATAACAGTGTACTTTTATACATGTAACTATTCTCGTTCCCCGAAGTTTCTATTATGTAATGTAGATTTAGACAAATATTTACTTAAATACTGGTCATTATGTAATTTAAAATGATCCCATGGAAAGTTGGCCAGAAATTCCATTAAAAAAATACGAATTAGTTTAAGAATTTTGTTAATTAAACAGATATTGTATTTTCGTATAAACTTAAGAAATACAAAGAATCTGTATACAGAATACATTCTATTTAATTGATGTATAATTATGATAAGAAAGGGGGTTTGCGGAGATTGTAGTAATTCTAATAGTTCGATTCATGAATCAATCTAAGTTAGAACACCATTGAAAACCTGGAATCACTGGACGGATGTCTCATTCTAGTACGGGGCTCCTCAGTAGTGCACATCCATATGTCCCACACCAACGAGAATTGAACCCAGGACCTTTTAGTCTCGCGCGCGAACTCTGAACCACTAGATCACTGAGGCTCTCAATATTATCATCACCTATAATGTTGAGATTAAGTGAAATTATTTTTATTCTCAGTTTAACCATTCTCTCAATGTTTCTTTGGGATATATCTATTAACTGATATGTGCCTATCTATTTCGTAAAATGATGTTTTGGACAAATAATTTCTTTATAAATAACTGGATAATTTATTGTACTCTCTATTATTAATTTGAACATCGAATAATATCGTTGGTTTAAAATGGTGGGACTTATCATCCTCATGGTTTTGAATAATGAAAAAAGAAGTGGGAATATTTCTATTCACTTTTAAAATACTCAAGGTTGTTAGCCATAGCTGATCTAACAAGTTCATGTTGTTTTACTGATTAAACAATTGCTGCTTTATTAGAAGAGATTTCGGTGGATAGTATAGTAATCTCAGTAGTTGAGATCATGAGTCAATTAAAGCTAGACTTCCGTGGAAAACCTGGAAACATTAGACAGTCGTTTTGTCTTATCATGGGAGAGTTCGCATCTACGACCCCGCCACGCGGGATACGAACCCAGAACCTATCGGTCACTTTTTTTAATCTTTTCAACTTAATCAAAGAAAATGATGTGGAAATCAACTTAATCTATTGCCTGATAACCATTGAAATTAGTAAGAAAATGAATGATCTATAGAATTGAATGTTTAATAAAATATTTCGTAATCAAATTATTATTTAGTTTAACAGAAGTTTTTCTAGTTAAACGGAAAAAAACGTACAATGAAAACTGTCATCATATTTAGCTATTGATTATAGTACAATAAATTTTTTTCAGTTTGACCTCATAGAAAGCGGAAACCAGTGAGAAATCTCAAAAACAAAATCGAACTAGTTAATTATCTACAACATTTCACTGACACCAATGCAGTAAATGATTAATGATTGAGGGTAACAAAAAAAGAGATCAATTCGGAAATGGCATAAAAATCATCGAAAAAAAAACGATAATTTAATCAATTATCTTTAAGGATAGTAACTAGGAACAAAATACGGCGCGTGTATCTTTCACTTCATCCATGCTAGGGT